AATCTAGTCAAGAAAACACCCAAAAGTTTGGATACTCATCTGTAGATTATCTAAATCACTCCAATAACATAGCATGCTCACCCCTCCCAACTACCCGAGCTAGCTGTCTTGAGTAAACTCCCTACAGGTGTATGAGGCCAAGGCCACACACAGACAGAGTCAGGAGGTTATAGTCCCTACATGGCAAGTTAACAAGATCCACTTGCTATACAAACACAATAATTGAATCCCAGCTGGTTCTGTAGCAGAGACAAGGGTGATGGGGGTTTCTTCACAAGGACCACGTTGTGAAGCACAGTTGACTTTATCATGGGATATGTCAGCAGGAAAGAATTCATTAAAGCATCTGGGTGAATGCTTCACATTATGTAAATATGGCACTTCCACTAATTTAAGGAGTAGCATTCACCATAAAGGCTCCAAAAGAGAATCCTAGCTAGACCAGAGGAGGATGGAAAGCATCAAGGAGTGGGAGCAGAGATGCAAGGGAAAATGGAAATGGAGGAGGAAGGACAATTCAGGCAGGGACAGAAATAATTTATGAGGATTAAAAGAAAGATAAAGTCATGAATACAGTCTCATTTTATTTTTTGCACCAATAATGAGAACATTTGTATTTTAATTTCATGTATGTCTTATGTGCAGAAAAGAGAAGTCAAAAAATTAGCTAGATCCAGTTAATAGAATCCAGTTCACTGAGCAATTTCTGCAGAGAAACCTGCCCATAGCATCTTTTTGCATGGTAGAAAGCTTCAGGAGTGATGCATCATTTTCCTTTGAAGAGTGGCTTTTATGCATGCAGTTGTAGCACTTTAAAATAAATCCTGTCCTCCAGGGAGGGACATTTAAAAAAAAAATACAGGAACTCAGTACTGTTTAGCAGTTTATGAGGAATAACACAGTTTTGTTGACTCTCAGTATAAAGCTTTTCATAAAATACTGAACTGCTTAGAATGTTGATGTGTTCAGCTGGTAACAGAGAAACTACCATCTTTCCTTTATGAGCACTGGCGTTGGGTTACTCCAAAAACAGGGCTTGGGGCATAAATTTATCAGTGACAGTGAGCTACATGACCAGAAACAGACATAAGGAGGTTAGCTTTAAGGTGACAAGAGAGTTGGTTGCAAAATATTTAGTCCAGGAGTGAAATAATGGCCTAATCAAAATCAATGGCAAAACTCCCTGTGATAAATGAAGGGGGGGGGGGAGCTCGCTTTTATGGACCCCCATCCAGCCAGTTAGCTATAAAGTCCCTCTTGGTGGCTGTTCTCTGCTTGCTTTACCTGTAAAGTTTAAAAAAAAAAGCAGGTAAAAGGAAAGGAGTGGGCACCTGACCACAGGAGCCAATGGGAGGGCTAGAACATTTTACAATTGGGGAAAAAATCTTCCCTTTGTCTGTGTGTTGTTGTTCTCTGGAGAGCGGAGACACAGAGCAGCAATGCTGTAAGCAGCTTTAAAACCAGATATGAAAAAGCATTAATTCATACCTCAAACCTACTTATCTGAAACTCAGATATGTAAGTAGATCAGAAATGTCTAGAAAGATGTTTATTTTATTTTGTAAGGCTTGTGGACTCCTCTGTGCTAAGCCCAGATGCTCTTGTTTTGCTTGTAACCTTTAAGCTGAACCTCAAGAGAGCTATCTTGATGCTTAATTTTTGTAATTGTTTTTTTTTAAGATCTAGCAAAAAGCTTAAGTTCCAAATGTATTTCCTTTCTTTTTGTTTTTAATAAATTTTACCATTTTTAAGAACAGGGTTGGATTTTTGTGTCCCTAAGAGGTTTGTGCATATGTTGTTTCATTAGCTGGTGGCAACAGCTAATTTTTTTTGTTTTCTTTCTCAGCTCTTCCCTAGTGGGGAGGGGAGGGAGTGGGGTGAAAGGGCTTGAGGATACCCCACAGGAAGGAATTCCCAAGTGTTCCTTCCTGGGTTCTCAAAATGGGGGGGGGAGTTGCACTTGGGTGGTGGCAGCATCTACCCATCCAAGGTCAGAGAGAACCTATGACCTTGGGAGTTTAATATCAGCCTGGAGTGGCCAGTATTAATTTTTAAAATCCTTGCGGGCCCCAACCTTCTGCACTCAAAGTGCCAGAATGGGGAATCAGCCTTGATACTCCCATTGACTTAAATGGAGAGAAGGGGCATGATTTCACCCCAGAAGATTTCACCCCAGATGTTTTCCTGCAGAGATATTTCTCTTTTACAATGAAAAGGACAATAAATGTAATGATGGATGAGCCTCAAACAAGTAGGAATTTGGTTCTGTTGAGATAAATACCTGTACAGCTGAGTTGAGATAAATTTGGTTCAGTTGAGATAAATACCTGTACATCCCACACCTTATCCAAATGTGATCTTTTAGTGCTAATTTATAGAAAATGTGTGGAAGTTAGGGATGGATCAAATCCAGACCCATATGGCTGAAACAAAACAACTCTGAGAAAGCAGATAAGTGATATTTGGAAAATCCCAGTTTAGGTTTAGTATAACCTAAACTTTTCTTTTACAAAACCAAAACCGAATCCAATTTCTGTTTAAAAACTAAGCAAATGCAATTCAAAGCCATAAAGTGGCCCAGACTTTTTGATTTACCGGGAAACATTCACAGGAATGCTTTACAAATCACACTGAAACTATGCTCCGGGTTAGGCCTACTTTGGAATTTGTAACAAAACCAGAACATCATGGTCTCATTCCTACAAGGTGCTGAACATTCTGTCCAGGATCCAGCAAAACTCTTAAATACATGCTTCAATGTAAGCATGTGAATAGTCATATTGAGAATCAAGCCCTGGGTGAATAATCCTTAACAAGCAACAGAGGGTCCTGTGGCACCTTTAAGACTAACAGAAGTATTGGAGCATAAGCTTTCGTGGCTTTCGTGGGTGAATGTGTCTGATGAAGTGGGCATTCACCTATGAAAGCTTATGCTCCAATACTTCTGTTAGTCTTAAAAGTGCCACAGGACCCTCTGTTGTTTTTTACAGATTCAGACTAACACGGCTACCCCTCTGATATTAATCCTTAACAGTTACTCATACATGAAACTAACACGTTATGTTTCTTTGTATGCAAAAAGCAAGCAGTTACTTTGGGTGGGGTCCATAAAAGGACTTGGGCGTTGCAATGCTGAGCGTCACAGCACCTAACTTTCAGGCACCCAGACAGAAGGGCATTCAGCTGCCTAAATTGTGTATGTGACCCAAAAATAAAATAGCCACCGGGGAAGAGCTCACCTCATACCCTTTAGCCTAGTGGGCAGGGTATTCCCAAGATGCAGAAGAACCCTGGTTCAAGTCCCCACTCTTCCTGAGGCGGTGAAGGGATTTGAACAAAGTCTCACTGGGCTACTGGATATTCTGATGTGGGTCTCCCTTAGTCTTTTCTATAGAAGTTGTTCCACTTTCAATAACTGAATTATTATTATTAATTATTATTATTATTAATTGGACCAGAGGGAGTTAGATTCAGGGCTGGCTCCAGGCACCAGCAAGCTCATGCTTGGGGTGGCAGATTCTAAGGGGCGGCTTCCCTCCAATCCTTTTTTTTTGTTTTGCTTGGCCGCTTCGGCCGCCCTGTAGGGGGCGGCGGTGTGGAGGAGGGGAGCGCCCTGCTGGGAGCGGGCTGCGCGCTCTGTCTGCCCCAGCCTGTGCCAGGTCTGCAGCAAGCCCGGCAGGGCAGCCCGCGTCCTTCCCTGCCCGCTGACTGGAGTGGTGCGGAGCCCTCCCGCAGGTGGCGTGGCAGGAGGGGCCGCGTGGCAAGTGCCCCGCTGAAGGAAGCCCTGGCCACCCCCCTTCTCTTTTCCTCCAATCCCTCCCCCTGCTAGCCAGGGCATGCACTGCACTGCCCGGGGCTCGTCTGCAACGCAGGGAGTCCCCCTGCACCTGGCTCTGGCCGCCCTGCAGGTTTTTGTTTTGTTTTGTTTTTCTGCTTGGGGTGGCAAAAAAGCCAGAGCTGGTCCTGGTTAGATTGAGTTTATTTCCTCCTCTCCCTCCCCCAAAACTGTTTTGTGTGAACTCAGCTGGGGGGCTCAATCTGGTAGGCTCCCTCTGAGCATGCCTACTCGTTAACCCCCCACACACACACATACACACACACTCCCCTCACCACGACTCAGGCAGCTAAACACCTCACAGTTGCGAGCTTTCACATGGTAAATAAGCACCCCAACTTCCACAATAAGACAAAAATCAAGATAATCCCATTTCAAAACAAGGCCAAAACAAGCCAATCCCTAAGAACCCCAACACTCTGTGACTGGATCCCCCCGGTGTGCAGTCTGGGACTGTGGTGGGCCCGCTGGGCACCCCTGACTCTCTCCCCCCTTGCCTCTACTTACCCTTTGCCCCTGCTTGCCAGGAGCTGATAAAAAAAGAAGCAACAAGCTACAAGCAACAAGCTACAATCCAAAAACTAGCCAACAAGCAACTCAAGCAAATTAAGCCAAAAACAAGCCCAATTTCTGCGTTTTTTTCACGGGTTTGGCATGTCTGAAACACCTATCTTCCCCAATTTAGGAATCGTTCTGGTGCTTCAGTGAGAAATAGGAGTCTAGGTGCCTAGAGTGAGGTTGAAGTGGGCATGCCCAGAGGCAGAAACATAGGTATCAAAAGAACTCTTAGTGCAAAAACTTAGGCCTGAGAAAGATTTAAACACCTAGAGGCTAGGTGATAGCTGAGTGGGAGTCTTGTGGATCTCAGTGGTGCCTAAAAATGGAACTTAGGTGCCAAATACTGTCATGAATTGAATGGATTTTATTTTAGATTAAGAGAACAAGTTAAAAGAAGAACAGAACGTAAAGTCTCCATTCGGTGCATTTCCAGACTAACAGTCTGCACTGAACTGTTCACAAAATGGCTGTTTGTCTCAGTAGACAGGTATGTCCTTAGAGATTTAAAGGTGCAGTACAAAGTAAGTGATGTAACAGTAAATAACTAAACTAACTACTGCCATGTGTTTGTTTCCATTAATGTATCTTTATTTATTTTTGTTTGCAGATTGCTTTACAGGATTCGTAAATATACTGACTGATATAATTTGGCGCTTCACAGGAGATTTCATGGCCCCTGATATTGTCTGCAGAGTTGTTCGCTACCTGCAGGTACAGAAACTATTCAATATCTAGTACCCACAGCTGCACACCCTGACTAGATAAGAGCTCAAAGTCTTGTATCCCAATGTACTGTAACATTAAGTGCTTGTTAAATTGTTGTATAAAAGCCCTTAAATCATCATCAAAGAAGCTAATAAAACTGGCATTTAAAGAATAAGGCATGAAAGTTTAACTGCTTATATATTAAATGGTAGATATGATAATGGAAAAAGTCATGGAGAAAATTGTAAGCAGGTGCAAATTCCATTCAAGACAATAGATTTGAATTTGCTTACATCAGAGCTGAATTTGTCCCAGCATCTTAGCCATTAAATGTATGTAGTCCCCTGTCTCCTACTCCCTAAGCATAGGAACTTTTTAAAAGTGCCATTTAATGACAATAACACCAGTATTTAAAAGTAATTAGTCTCCAAGAGAGATTTTGCAAAAATCAAAAATGTCAAAGAGACCCCTAATTCACATTGATCTTCCCTGGGAGCTGGGTGCCTAGCTGACATTTGTGTCTTTGAAAAGCTCTCTCTTCATGTCTCTCTCCCCCCCCACCTATTTCTAATCTCAGTCCAAAAATAGCAAGCCAGAGTCTGATCTCACTGTAGCCTGTTGTAAACCCAAAGCAACTCCACCGAAATCAGTGCTGTTACTTCAAATTCACAGTGATGTAATTGGGAGCAAAAATCTGGTCCAGTTCTAGAAATTATCCTGAACAGTGAGGTTTGCATTTTCACGAGTAAGGATGTCTGGGTGGCAGAAGGCTCAAAAGCAATAGTTATTTATTAGCTGGCCCAACCATATCTTCTTAGTAATCCCGCACGCGATTGAAGTTTGAGCATGAAGAATGATGGTATTTAATAGGGCTTCTGTTTTGTATACAAATTGCGTGTCTGATTTTATGATTGTTGGACCTTGCCAACTGCCGCCAAATTTTGAGACGGGGAGAGGAAATTATAACTGAATGAGCTGCAAGAGGGTATGCTACTTAAATACTGTGTTCATATTCCTCAATCTAAAACAATTCCACATGGGGACATCCCAAATGGAATCTTAGGGACAGATTCTACCACTCTGTAGCACCTTACTCAGAAGGTAGTCTCACTGATTGATTTCAGTGTGACTACTCATGGAGTAAGGTACTACTCAAAGAAAGGATGGCAGAATCTTGCCCTAAGTGTTTGCCAAATATCACATACTGAGAAATACGGGGGGAGGGGAAGGAATTCATAAGCGGGACTTATGTCCCTAAAGTGGCCTCAACCAAAATGTAGATCCTCAGAATACCTGATGAGCTGCCTACATTTCCACTGGCAGAGTCCTAAATTTCTGCCAATGGACATGCACACAACTGCTTCAGTCTTGACACCACTAGTAGTTTGGCACCTAACTTGCACCTATGCCCAAGGAGGATTCACAAAGTGGACACTGCCTTGATGGCCTGGTCCAGCAGATGTGCTCAGAAGCCAGTTTAAATAGTTAGTGGAGTAAAGCCTTGAACTTCTCATCCCAGGTCGGTGCCCTAGCCCCTGGGTTATAGAGTCAGTCTCTCTCTCTTTCTGGCCCAATGACTATTTAAGTATTTTAGAGAAAGTGGCACAGCTTCAGCAGGAGAGCTTGAGAGACCTGCCCCTCACACAGTGGGGATTTGAACCTGTGTCCCCCTATACTGCAACTGAGTGCTCTTGTTATTGGGCATGGGGTGGGAGCAGCAGCTCCTCCACCTCAGATTTCTTTCCTGAGGAAGGACTGACCTGGTTTAGGTGCCTAACTCCACAAGAGGATTCATGGCTGTGAATTCCAAGTGGAGGGAACCACTTCATTCAAATCCAGACATAGGTAGCTAATTCCCTTTGATGGGTGGGGTTTACGCCACATCCCTCTTCTCAGCATTTCCTATTGGCAGCGTAGGCACCTCTCCACTTATTGTGCTGGCTTTTGTGAATCTTTTTTAGACACCTAACTCTCCCCATGCATTGTATAGGGAGCCTGGGCATCCAACTCAGGGCTGTACATTTCACACGGGGTGCCTAAAAGTTAGGCCCTGCAATGCTCAGTCTAAGTTCCCCTTGTGAATTCTACCCATTGTAATTTAAATTGCTTATAAGTGTGTTGTTGTTTTTTCCTCTTCTACCTCAGGTTGTCCTTCTGTATGCCTCAACTTATGTTCTGGTTTCACTCAGCATAGACCGTTACCATGCCATAGTTTATCCAATGAAGTTCCTTCAGGGAGGTAGGAGAAATTTTGTACCTTGCTACTGCTCTAGATGTGGCTTTAACATCTTTATTTCACTAAACAACTTTTCAATGAAAGCAGTGTTATCATGATTAGTGTACTAAGATCCTTTATTAATTCCTTGTCTTGGCAATATTATATTATGTGGAATAAAACTATTTTAAAAAGTGTAAAGGTTTCCCATTATCTTCCAGCATTTTCAGAAAATAATTACTATACACAATGGACAAAAAACTGTCCTTAGTGCAATTCCATTGACTACAGGCATCACAGCAGGGATTAATTTGGACCATTTAATTTAACATATAGTGTTTGAATGAGCTTTTTCAATGCAAATAGATAAAACTGGGGAAATAAATACATTATTAAATACAGCATGAGCTCCTCCAGTCTGCTGGCTCATTATATGAAATTATTGGGGTTGGGAGAGGTTGAGTTTTAACCATCTGTAAAGGGGTAGTTCTTTTCCATGATAAGTGACATTCAGAAGGTGTAGAGAGATGTTGGGAATAATTTTATGATTTTTATTAATTTTACAACCCTCAAAAGCATGCTGGCTGCTGTACACTACAGAAGGGTGTTTCCATACTCAAAGAGTTTACAATATTAAATATGATGTGTTGGGGGAAAGCGGTAGGGATGGGATGAGGTGAGGAAGAACAAGGATTACAGCAGTGGTTGCTTTCTTTAAAATATGCTTTAATCAAAACTCAAATTATTGTACTCATTACAAGTGTCATGGTAAAATTCTCTGACTTGTGTTATGCAGGAAGTCAAACTGGCTGATCTAATGGTCCCTTCTGGCCTGAAAACAATATCTATGAATCCATCAGATTAGGTAGTTGTGTGATTTAGGCACATGAATAAGATCAAATACCAATCTGAAGTTTATCCTAATATTTGCCCTGTTTAGGCACTTAGGACATTTTCAAAACCAGGGGGCTAAAATTCAGCTCCAGTGGGCAGATTTTCAAAAGTACTGAGCAGCCACCAGTTCCTGCAGAAGTTAAGGGGAGCTGTTGGGTGCTCAACATTATTTAAATTCTGACCAGCTATTTGAGGGCCTAACTGTGGAGCAGGTGAACCTCACTGCCAGTACCACAGCATCTTCATTTGTGAAATAGAAAGAGCAGTAGTTATTAGACTTCCTCCTCGGTTTAGGGGTTTAATGGTGAGGAATTTATAACTTAATCTTCGTAGATATATAAATAGCTACAATACAGGCTTCATATTATAGCAAATTATTTACATTAAAGAATTAATCCCATATCATAGCTATCTTTTCCTTTCCTTCCACGAGGAGGGTAGTATTCTTTGTCCCATGCAGAGTTATCCTTGACATGCCCAATCAAGTTCTCTCTGTATTTGATATAATACCCTTGATGCCAAGGGCCGCAGAATAATTTATCAGATTGAAAAGGAGCAAGCCTATTTTTTCAGACTTGTTGCTAATGACCTATTGAGGTCCAAGTTTTGCATGCTGCCTTACTACGTCTACACTGCAACGGAAGCCTAGGCTCAGACTCAGGCTTGAGCACAAAGCTCCTTTCTGTCTACACACCTCTCTCAAACTCAGGCTCAGACCCAGGATCCTAGGAGTGCATGAGGTTGGAGGGTTTGAACCAGAGTCATGAGAAGACCCAGTGTTCATACCCTATTGCTTTGCAATGTAGATGCAGTCCCCTCCACCCCCGACTTGGGAGTTCACTAGAAGTATTCCACAATCCCATGGGCCAATTTCCTTTGTCCTCTCTCCTCCCCCCCATCTCCCCCACCCAAGAGCCACCAATTGACTCCAGGGAAAGGGAAGCAAACCCCCTCCCTTGTAGTGCAGTAGCTCAGTGAATCAGCATTTAACCCTTCTATTTTATTCTGACTGCCAAGCTGCAAACACACCTTGGGAGAGCCTTCTGAATTTACAATGGACACAAATGAGAAGAAGTCCTTTGCAAAGCATGCTGCTTCATTCAGGTGCATGGCCAGATTTTTGTTAGTCAGTGGTATGTAGGGTGACCAGATAGCAAGTGTGAAAAATCGGGACGTGAGTGGGGGGTAATAGGTGCCTATATAAGAAAAATCTCCAAATATTGGAACTGTGCCTATAAAACCAGGACATCTGGTCACCCTACTGGTATGATGCCAGCCAAATAGTGAATTTTAGTAAGAGAATCAGGAGTGACCACATGCATACCAGCAAATAGCAAAGAAGCAGGCAAAGGAAAAGAAGTATACTTAACATCCTTTGTGAAGGAGTTCAAGATCTAGTGCTAGACCAGAGACTATGGTTACTAACATCAGGTTAGGACAGGAAAGTGCTTTGAAAAAGGTTGTGCTTGGCAAAAAATAGTTTTGACAGTAAGATAAGTGTTTTACTCTCACTTTGCATGGGTGTTAATGACTAGAGAAGGTGCAAGACAGTGGAAAATCAAGTCCCGCCCATAGCCTAACCCCAACTTTTACTCTATACACAACATCTAATTCAATAACAAAACACATCAGAAATAATAAAACATGCAATAAAGAATGGTAGGATAATGATCATCTAGAATCAGACCTTTTAAACAGTTCTTTCATATTTAGAGAGCTGTTCAAACATTATATAATTAATCCTCAACAACTTGGCGTATTCAGTAAGTGATACTGTCTCAGTTTTAGACAGGGAAAATGGAGCTGAGACACAGTGTCACATGATCAAAGCCATAAAGAGTCACTGTCAGAGCTGGGATTAGAATTTATAAGTTTGAAATTCCCAAGTTCTATCCATGACCACTACAATACATCCAAATCTCATTTTAAACCAGCAAAGTCATGATTTTATTTTTCGTAAAAGAAAAGTTTCTCAAATCTGTCAATTAAAACATCCTATTCAGAGACAGGTTTTATTTATACTTTACATAGTCTAATTATAGGATACAGCAGCCACGAGGCACTGGAGCATTTACAAAAAACAAGAACACATGTAAGGCAGCTACCCTATACTGGCCTGTTCACACAGAAATTTCTAGGTCAAGTTTAGTGGTGCTTTGAGCAGTGGCGGATTAGCCACTGGGCCAAGGGGGGCCCGTGCCCAGGGGCCCTGGCCAATTGGGGCCCCTGGAAAAATGGGCACCCCACACCATGACCCGCTCTGCCTAGTGCTCCTGCCGTGGAGTGGGGTCGGGGCACAGGGGCATGCCCTGCTCTGCCTGCCTGGTGCTCCTGCTAGGGAGTGGGAGAAGCCCCCGTGCCTCGAACCAACTCCCCGACAGGAGCACTGGGTGGGCGGGACAAGCCCCTGCACCCTGACTCCATTTCCCCAGCAGGGGGGGAACTGCAGGCAGAAGGGGTGGGGAGGGGCCCCCACTTTCTCTGGCCTAGGGCCCACAAACCCTAATCTGCCTCTGGTTTTGAGCATGAGCTAGCTGGCCCATCAGGGGTTGTGGGTGGAAGCGCAAGCGTTAATGGCACTGGAGCTAGTATTACAGTGGGGACACAGCTACTCTGTGCAACTAATCTAAACACTGCAAAACAACACGTGAGCAGCACAATGGAATTGCTCTCACTTGAGCTAGGCTAACTTAAGAGTTGGCTTGAGTGATCCACACCATCCTTAACACTCCAGTTAAGACAAGCCCTCAGAGAAAGACTGTGAAACAAGCCCTGCCATGTACTCCAAAAGCACAAGGTCTGTTGGAGCCAGGGGCAAGGAAGAAAATTCCAAAGCCTCTTAATAGAAATTTTCATTAATGGCAAACAAAGAAAAAAAATTATAATACAAAAAACAAGCAAGAGACATGAATTTCTCAGAACGCTACTTTAATTTGTAATTAGGAGGTTTTTAAAAGGAAAAGAAAAATAATGTCACTGATGTGCATTGAGCAGGATCTCGCATGATCACATCAGAACTCTGGACATAAACCCTTTACATTACATAGCACCTTTCATGCCTTAATTTCAAAGTTCTTCAGACATAGCAGACCAGACTCTGATGTACCTCCACCATGAGTGTCTCCATTGATTTCAGAGGGACTACTTGAGTAAGATGCTGCTTGTGGTAATTAAGGGTATTAGAATCTGGCCATAATTAAACACATGTGATGCCTGTGTACACACACATACACCCTGCCTTAGCGAGGGACAACAGTTAAGTATTATTGGACTCATTTTACAGGCGGGTATACTGAGAAAAACTGGTTATAGAGGCTGCACAGGGCCAGTAAGAAATTCTATGGGAGAGCCAAAAGTTAGAGCTTCATATTCCTAGCTCCTTATTCTAATATTTTAGCCACTAGACAACCTTGCTGCCTCAGTTCTTCATTGCAAATAAGCAGTTCCTATAGAAATCTGAGATAAAGACCTTGAAGGTTATCTAGCCTATTTTTCTGCCAGTTCAGGTTTTTCTCCAGAATATTTTCTAGCACTTTGCCTAGTCGAGTTGCAAACATTTGGACTTTCAACCTCATCTCCTGGTTAACTGAAAGATCTGTCAGGAGATGATTCCCAATATGTACCCTCAATTTTCTTTTCATTAAACGTAATTGTTATCACTCAGTATTTCTTTACATAATCCTTCTCCCTGCATAATATTTACCTCCTTCATCTAACCCTCTTGTTTATCTAAATCAGTGGTTTTCAAACTGGGGTACACGAGCTCTCAGCAGGGTGTACACAAGAAAAATCCTATAATGGCAGACAACGTATTTTATTTAGTAAGACTTGGCAATTTAATCGTAGATATAGTATGAAACTATCTCAGATGGGGGTATGCAGCAGATCGGTAGCTCTCAACCCAAGGGAGTGCGGTCCGGGGCCCCCTAGGGGGCCTTGAGTAGGTTTCAAAGGGGCCTCCAAGCAAGGCCAGCATTAGACTCGCTGGGGCCCAGGGCAGAAAACCGAAGCCTCACCGCATGGGCCTGAAGTCCAGGTCTCTGTGCCCCACCACCCAGGACTGAAGCTGAAGCCTGAGCAATGTAGTTCATGGGGCCCCCCGTGGCGTGGGGCCCCAGGCCATTGCCCTGCTTGCTACCCCTTAACGCTGGCCCTGGCTTTTATATGCAGAAAACCAGTTATTGTGCCACAGGTGGGCTGTGGAGTTTTTATAGCATGCTGGGGGGGGGCCTCAGAAAGAAAAAGGTTGAGAACCTCTGGAGTAGACAACATTTGAAAAGGGGTATGCAACATAAATGTTTGAAAACCACGGATCTAAATGTTACGGATCTCCTCAAAGCACTTTAGATAATCAAGCTTCTATTGTGCTGATCATGTGTAATATTTAAAAGTAAGGGTAAATATTATAGCTGATGTTGGCTGCCGCAAAAAAATTTTTTAAATGCTTCTATTTACTTGTATAGTGCTCTTTTAAAATGATTGAGCTTCAAGGAGTATAGATTTTAAAAATAGCCTCCTGCTGGGCACAATTTAATGGGATTTTCTACTTCAGCATACAATCAGTCATCTGGGGATTTAGACCAACACTTGTCAAAATATCTGAGTACCCAGGCAGTTTGAGATATGATTTTCCCATTGAACTTTCTACCTGCAATCCTCCAGCATTCTCAGTAAGTGAGATCCTTGGCTGCAGTAAGTCAGTGTAGCTCCATTGACTAGCTGGCCCACTCTCTCAAAATTCAGTATCTACATCTTGCAGTGCTGGTTAAAGTCATAAGAACATCCTTCCTCTGTCACCTGCAGGGCGAAGGCTTCTTTTGTTTCTGACATGCCATCATGTTGACCTCAACCTTGCTTTGCCCAGACAAGTGGGCACTTCTGCACAAATTCATACCATCCTTGTTTGAAGAAACTTCTTTGTCTAGGTGGTATCTCTAAAAGCTTATATTTCTGACTTGTTGCCAGTGACCTGGGTCTTTGACAGAGCACTTGACTTCTTGATCAACTGACTTCTGTTACAAAAGTAACAAAGAAATCAAAAAATTCAGTCATAACATTAGCTGACAAGCTCCTTCCATTTTCAGCATCAGCCTGGAAATTAGAATTCCCCCCTACCCATCCTTCCTTTAGGCTGATGTATATGTCCAAAGAAACATCACAGAAGGGCCAGAAACTATGCTAACAAAAATCTGTTTGGATTTGTTGAACAGAAAGGCAGGCGAAAGTTCTCATCATGGTGGCATGGAGCCTCTCTTTCCTGTTTTCGATTCCAACTCTGATTATATTTGGGAAACGGCAGCTATCCAATGGGGAAGTGCAGTGCTGGGCCCTCTGGCCTGATGACTCCTACTGGATACCCTACATGACTGTGGTCGCTTTCCTGGTATATTTCATTCCTTTGATTATCATCAGGTAAGGACCCGGTAGGGATACTATACACAATGGATACCTGCTGAAAACAGCTAGCTGGCAGATGTGCAGGCAGTTTTTAAAACTAATTAATTTGGCATTTGTTTTATATAAATGTTTTATCCTAAACGGATTTGATATAACTGATCCAGAGTAGAACTCCATACTTGTCCATTTTATTAACGGGTCTCTCCTACTGTATGAGCTCCTGCACTTAATATTGCATAAAAGTTGCCAAGAGTAATAGTTATCAACATTTATCTGGACAAAAATAGAATCCACAAGTGGATGACTCTCCATAACTGCAGTCTTTTTAAAGGACTCTTTATCATATGCTGTTTCCTTTGATATTTATTGAAGAATATTTTTAATAAAAGAACAGAAACGGCATTTACTCTAGTTACCCTGAAACTTAGGGAGTGAGGACACTTTCAATTTCATGTCAGTGTATCAAAAAATTGATTACCAGTAGAGGTAAGGAAGTTTTCTTCCCTCCTCCCCCATGATAGTATTGTACAATTGGGTGCATAATAATAAATAAATACAATTTTATACTCTACTTGTAGATCACCGTCCACCCGCGGATCTCAAAGTGCTTTAAAAACATGAATGAATTAAAATTTTTCTAATGTTCCAGTGAGGTAGGTAATTATTATTCCCATTTTGCAAGTGGGGAAAAATTGAGCCACAAAAAAGTTATGTGACTTGCCCAGTGTCGCACGGAAAGTCTGCAGCAGAACATGGATTTCCTGATAGCCCAAACTGCACTTAGGGGATTGGAGAGGCAAGATTTGAGGGGTCTAATGCCTTCCTGTGAGGCATCTGCCATTGGTCATTGTTAAGGACAGAATACTGGAGTAGTTGGACTATTGGTTCATTTCTACATGGCAAGGATAAATGTAAATATTCTGTTGTAAACTACATACTTTCTGGACTGAGACTAGACTAAAGTAATGGCTGCATCACTCCCAATATGCAATGCAAGGGAGACACAGCATGCAAACTACATAAATTTCAATAGCTCTCGTGTGACCATTCATTACGTAATGGATCATCATGGCAAATCCCAAAGGGACGTGCCTCCTTGCAGCTCAAGGATCAACCAGATTGATCTCTGGCTAACTCCTTATGGTGGGCTGGCTAGTTATTCAGTCTGTCTGTAACACCGGCAATCTTATCATGCCACTGAAGCCTTTTGCAGCCCATGTGATCACCAGCTGTGTAGCAGCATCTCTTGATGCACATGCTTTGCAATTCATTGGTCTTTCATTCCAATCTCTGTACTAAGAAAGCTACTGAAACCAAACCAGTGCTGATGGAGGCAGCATTGATACAGAGTTTATATAACTGTGGTTCTATAGCTCTGCAGCTTTATTGCAAGCTTGATGTTACAATGTCCCCACAGAGGCCATAGAAGGTCCTGAAATATGGCAACAGCTTCTGTTATATGAGCGTCTACATTTTGCAAGCATCCTCCAGCACTGTCTATGATTCTGCCCAAGTACTTGATAGTTGCCACCAGCTCAATGTCCCATCCAGAGAGTTAACATTGGAGCTGGAGGCTTCTTGATAGCAGTGGCCAGGAACTCTGTTTTATTCTGATTAATAACCAGACAAATGCACGCTGCTTCTTGCCCACCCAAATCCACCATCCGCTGCAATGATTTACCAGACGAGCCAACCAGACACTATTTACATAGTCAGAATCTGAAAGCAGAATGGTATTCAGCGCAATGCCAACAGCTGCCTCCTCAAACTTATGAATCAACCAATCAGTGCAGATATTGAACAACTGTGACAAAACACAGTCTTGCTGAACTTCCATGGAGACAGGAAACCACATGGTGTATCTGCCTCTGTCTCAAACACAGCCGTCTGTTCCACTGTAGAGCTCTATCAATGACACTATTTCTACGCATGCAGAGTTGTCTCTGCAGAGCCACAAACATACTCAATGCACTGAATCAAAGGCCTGACAGAAGTCTATAGAAAGAGCTGAATTTAGTAAGCCATGCACAGCAATGGCAACAAGAGAGCATTTTGAAAAGTGAATGGGTCCATCACTGTGAAGTTCATGGGGATGGATATTTATTGACATGGCAAATTCCTGCGTTTGCTCTTCAAAAGGAAATGGTTTCAGGACAAAGGTGCCTGTTAAGGATCGGCTCTCCCATTCAATGGGAATAGGATCAGGCCTTACATGTATTTGCTTTACAGGACTATTCCTGGGTCAAGTGTTTCATTTTTTATTACAATGTCTCATGCTTTAAGTTAGGACTGATTCTCATCTCACATTGGTTTTACTACAGCGTAACTCCTTTTATTTCAGTTGAGTTACTCCTGCTTTACATCCATGTAAATGAGAAGAGAATCAGATACAAAGTTGTTCCTTTCCATTTCACTTGCAGTAATCACTGGGTGTAAGGCCCGTGTTATACAGCAGGTCAGATTGGGGTGGGGGGATCAGGTTAAGGCCAGAGGAAACTTCTATGATTATCTGAACAGGATATTTCAGACATTTATAGCCTGGAAGCAGTTCAATGAAGATGATACAAATAAAGTATCATCTGGGAAATTGGATAGTGACTAAGGGGTGCCCTATTTGTTAGAGAAATAGGAAAGCAATTTTGTAGGACAGTATTTCTGTAATTAACTATACTGCTATATTAGCTATTTGATCTGGTTGGAAAGGCAGAGCAACAAGCTAGTTGGCCTGAATGGTGAACCATTAACATTGTGTATTGAAGCAATCTGAGCAAGCAACTGGAGAGCCCCAAATGTAATTTGAAGTGATTCAATCTAATAGCTCAGAATCTCTTTAAGCAAGGAAATAAATTAAGGGTACATCTACACTGCAATAAGAGACCTGCGACATGGCTATTACTAGTTCATGCTTCGGGGCTCTAAAATTGTAGTATAGACATTTGGGCTCAGGCTGGAGCCCAGGATCTGAGACCCCACGGTGACACTGCACCCCATGTTCTTCACAGTAATACTATTATTATGATATGATTAGGGCATAAATTATGATGCAGTTTGTACAAGTCAGGTCATGTGAGGTGTCACTGGAAAAATTATGATTTGCTGAATATGATTATCCTATTTGTATGCATGTATCATTTTTGTATCTAAAGTTAGGAATATTGACTATGTATCTGTATTTCAATCATGCTTACTCTGGGTGACACCCACAACTAGCCTTTCTAGTACAAAATTGAAGAAGCCAGACAGTGCTGATGGCCCATCAGGAAAGACAGTGGACCCTGGAAGAACTTAACCTTCCTGAGAATACTCCAGAGAGCCTGTAAGTAATGGCTGCTATGACTCAGCAAGGTATGCAAGGACATGTAACCAGGCCACGTGACTCTGGACCCCAACTTGGGATGTCAGTTTTTTTTCCACAAACTGAGGCCTAGTCTTCACTTACCGGCTGGTCTGGCGGCATGCCATCGATGTTCTGGGATCGATTTATCGCGTCTGGTTAAGACACGATAAATCGATCCCGGATCGATCCCAGAAGTGCTCACAGTCGGCGCCGGTACTCCAGCTCGCCGAGAGGAGTACGCGGCGTCGACGGGGGGAGACTTCCGGCCGCGTCTGGACCGCGGTAAGTCCGGACTAAGGTACTTCGAATTCAGCTACGTTATTAACGTAGCTGAATTTGCATACCTTAGTCCAAAGTCCGGACTAAGTGGGGACCAGCCCTC